TGATGGCCATAAGCCCCAAATTCAGAGGCTTATGGTCATCCAGTGCAAAGCATAAGAAGCACAGGAGACGTTCTGTCTTTTGGCTTTTCCATCCCCTAGCCTGTGTTTTTCATTACATGCATTTTATTCTGCTTTGTTTTTCATCTCAGAAGGGGAAGAAAGACGGCTCTGGAGGCATCAAATTAGCTTGTATCCTGGGCTCTCATTCTTCTCCCCCCCCCCCCATTCCCTAAAATGACCCCTTTTGCCTGTCTCCAGGGTCACTTTTCCTACCTTGGAAAGCAGTTGGTGTGGTTCCTTCTATACCAGCAGTGAAGGGGGAGGGGGGTTGGAGTTCCAGTTCCCAGCTCCAAGGTCTCTGAGATCTCTGACCACACATCTGGGGAACCAAAAATATCCAGTGGACGCTCAGATGTCATCTGGGTGCCATAGGAATCTGGTATGTTCAGACTGGAGGTGAGGACTCAGAATAGTTCCAAGGAGAAAAAGTGTTTACACTTGTGGCTCTTTCTCCTTCTTGGTCTACTTCAGCCATCCCTGACATAATGCCCTTCAGATGTTTTAAGCTAGAACTCCCATCAGTCCCAGCCATAATGGCCAATCATCAGGAATTGGGGGATTGATGGAAACATCTAGAGGGCATTACACTGGTTGAGCCAGACTAACCTGCCCTTCTGAAGAATGTCTTAAAGGGGCTTTTGGCCTGAAGACTAGTAATTCATCACCTCTCTCACAGATCCTGCCCTTGAATGCTGCCTGAGTGTGAGGCCCCTTGTATAAAGAGAGCCAGCTTCTCAAGAAAATCTGGTCACAGTTATGGATGCTTTTGCTGACTGGGCCTGGGTCCAGCATTTCAGCACCTTGTACCACTGGTCTTCTTGATGCAGTTAGTTTTTCCTTTTGTTACGGGGGTGGGGGGTCATTCAGTTTGCTCATTCCACATTTTCGAACTACTATGTGGAAAACCCAGTTATTCTCTACATTTTTACAAATTTTACGGTACTGTCTCCAATTGAACAAATGCTTATATTAGGGGACATAGTATTCAAAACACATCATATTAGGAAAATTGCTTGAAAAATGTGTGCATTGGACAGAAATGCATGCATTCAGAGAACAAATACAGACTTTTTAAAGTAATTCCAATGTCTGAGATACCATGAATTCAACCCTAGAGAAGTTCTCTGAGTCTGAGATGAACTGAATTTAAAACTGAAAAGAATGGGAAACTGTGAGAAACTGAATTTGACAGATTCATCTATACTTACATTCTATCAGAGTCAGTTTTGGTTGCTGCTCAGGCTCAGGTTTGTAAATGTTCCATTTAACAAAATTATTAGTTCCTCAAAATAAATTATTTCCTCTGGTTATCAAAATATGCAAAATATGCAGTCATGTTGCTGCATTTCTCACCAGTTTACTAATAAATTCCAGATATAATTTTAGAAGGGACAAGTTGCTTAAATCTAGTTGCAAATGAGTCACTGGTCCTGTTGTAAAAGTGAGTTTTGTATAACTATGTTAGAGCTCCCACCCATAGTTGAATTTTTCTATATTAACACTAAGCTGTTAGCTATAACACTCTGAATATCCTTCAGTAGTCAAAACAGAACCATCGACATGCTAATTGGAGAGATCAGTCAGTTTCTGGGAGCTCGACAGCTTGCCAAAGTCTTTAGGGGACAACTCTTGAGTAGGAACAATGAAAACAGGTCAGTTAAGACTAAGCATGCTCAATGGGCACAAAATGTTCAGTGTTGAAGAGACTGGGGGACAGAAAATAAGTGAAGGAAGGAAAGTAGTATCTTGAAAATGGCTTGGCTCATTGAATGGGACTCTGAACAGGGGTACGCTATTTATATGCAGTCCCGCTTGCCCCTAGTAATAATCACTCCAATATTGCTAGGTCACAAAAACTATACATATTCTGGATATGACCTGTAAACTGAAAGTGAGGAAATTTGTTGTGCAAACGTTTACCTAATTACCTAGTAAATTGAATTTGGTCTGCTATGCCCATGACTAAATAACCTTACTTATTAAATAAGTCTTTGCAAGTATACAAGAGAGGCTAGAATTGTTTTCTGATATACAAATATCATTACTTGTATGAAGAAGCGTTCCATCATGTAACAGTCCAAACTGATGTGTATGCCAGCCACATGCTTTTCTATCAATGTCCAGAAAATCTCAATTCTTTACTCCACAGAATTATTTTACTTTAAGAACTGATACTTCTGGACCAGTAACAGATGATTCCTTTATTCAGGAATAGTGGAAAACATACGAATGGTGATATGCCATGCTCCATTTGTTTTAATACTGTTTCCTGAGAAGAAATTACAAAAGAAGCAACATTTAAATAGCTTTATTTGCAAGCCCATAAAGTGAACATCGAGTCAACATTAAATAAATGTCCAAATGACAGAACTGCCAAATAAATTTCTTATCTGTGATTTAATAGTATGACAATCATTTCTCAGCATCTGTTCTCCCTCAGCAGTCTAAAACATCAGTACTTGAGAGACATGTTGTAGTAAGTTTAATGATGTGCTGCAACTCACATTCAATAAACAGAACCAAATACATCAAATATATACCATTTTTAAAAATTCAGCCACCATGAATACACACACACAAACACAACATTCACATGACAAAAATTGGAGCAATCACATGTTCTTTTTTCACTAGCCAGCTTTTCCACAGTTGTATAGCTGAACACCAATCTGCAGTTGCCGACACAAACTCTTCACCCAAGACGATCAAAAACAGAAGCATTTCACTACATACACTGATGTTATGTTCTCTACGAGGAAAAGCCCAATTGTAGCATTGACTCAGAGCACTAGCATTGATCTTGCATGGAAAGGTTCTAACAAGAGCAAAGGAAGCTGCCTTATATGAGGTGAGACTGTTAGTCCATCTATTCTTTACACAGCTGCTATCCAGATAGCAAGTGCAAGTATGGAGCTTAGAAACATTCGCATGCAATGCATGTGCTTTACCACTAGCTGCAGTCTTATCCATCAAAAATTAAGCTTCAGATCTCTCATAGACAAAGCCATGGTATTAATTTAATGTAACAGCAGACGATGAGTGAATTGCTAGTAGAATGTTGTTCACTCTCCTCACCATCTACATATTTATTGAATTCTGTTACTTGATGTTGCTAAATTTGTTCTCTTTGCTAATCATTAATGCTCAGTCAATCCATCTTTCCACGTATGCACAAATTGTGAGCTACTGTTAAACAGAGTCATATACCAGCAGACAACAAGAACAGCAGCCTGCTATTGCAGAATCCAGCAGAAGCTCAAGTCTCCTGTTACTGGTGTTTTCTGGGAAGCATCTGGCAGATCACAATACAATGGCTGGTGGAGTACATTCAATACCTTCTCACAAATTGTATAGCTCTGAAGTTTGAAAATAGTAGACCAAGCCCTGGTCTTTTCTCTTGTCTTTTGCTCTAATATAGGCTGAATGCCTTTTCGATGTCACTTTGGTATTTTCAATGCCACTTTACAGTGATTGCAGCAGGAATGATACTATATTGCACACTGATTTCACTGAACACTTTTTTTAAAGGCCATGTTTCTATTCATCGATCTTCGTAACACATGGGATAATTCATGGTTACCCCAAACTCAGTTTGACCTGCACCAATAGTTTCTTTACACTTCAGTGTGAAATATCACTATTAATGCTGCCTCAGTTATATATCATACCTGGTTTTTATTTAGTTTAAGAATAGGTAACCACTTGCAGGACACACTGCTCCCACAAAACCTTTTGGGAGCTATACTGGGGGCTGGTAGTAGGATGGGCCAGGACACACAAACATAGTCACACCCATCACATACACAACAAAGAGAGAATATGAGGCAGACAGCCTGCTGTGGAACAGGAAGCTTAAAATTTCCCACCTAGCAATCTTAGTAAGATCTCTGAGGGAGTGACTCTTTAACTTCATCCCTTGCCCAGCTATCCCAATGGAGACAGCTGTTTCCATGCTACTAATAGATTTGTTACCTGCCATTCATCTAATGCAGAAGGGAAAAGCTGTGTGGAATTTCCCAGGATTTTGAAGGCCACCCAGAAAGCGGCAAAGAACCATATATAGCCCAGGGTTAACCATATATGATCTGGCTCAAATCAAGTATGTTGTAGAATTCATGTTACTGTTATAACCACTTATGAGTTCTAACTGTTGTGTTTTTAAAAACATATATTATTGCTACATGCTTAATACTTACATCTATTAAACTCATGAATTATTTTTATTTTCATGTTTATGATATTAAGCTGAGGCTCCAAAGAAGCCCAAAATGAATGATCATATAAAGAATTTTCAACTATTGAAATTAACACTTGGAACTTTGTATTTCTCAAGATATTTACTATGCAAAAGAGTCGATGTACCATCTTTTTAAAGTTTTGCAACATGATTATAGTTAAAGTAGTCAGTGTGGTTAAACAGTGAATTTTTAACAATTAATACAGTGAAACTGAATCCTCAGGCAACAAGTTGATTACATTCTACTGATTTCTGTAGATGTATTTTTAACTCCCATTTCCTGTGTATATCAATTTATTTTAAATTGTTATACTGAGTTCAGCTTACAAGGTGAAAAACTACATTAGCTAGAGAGAAACCTTCCACAAATTTTTCAACTTATGCTTGACAAGTCCATGTGCTCCACATTTGCAAGAAAAAGTGAAAATGTTATAGCAAGAGAAAATAAAAGTTAAATCAACTCACAGTCACTTCTAACTGTAAGTTATTTCATCATCAGTTTTTTTTTTCTTCAGTCTAGGACTAATGCCTGTTAAGTGTCATCCAGGTGAACAAATTGTCTTGCTACATCTGAGGTCTATCTTAATCAATTTTTTAATTTCAGGAGTTCATGGTGCTTAAAGCTGTGTGTGTGTGTGTGTGTGTGTGTGTGTGTGTGTGTGTGTACAATGTGATGCAACCAAAGAAAAGCACCTGAGGCTCCATTTATTTTAAAAGTGGTGCTAACCTCTGGGAGTTTGATGTGCTTTAATTGGATAGATGTTGCCTTTTACCAAAGAAAGAAAAAGAAAATCCATGGTTTCATTCAGATATCACTTTGAGCCACTAAAATCATCTTATGTCTTTACCATTCTGTTTTTAACAGCACTTTTTTGATTAGGCATTGTTTAAGTGCATCAAGTTGTTCATACATATTTATGTTATGTTACACAGAATCCTAACATGTTTGGCACGATGTTTGGATAGATTTGCTACATAATGAGCATTTATTAAAAGTATATTTGGAGGGTGAGCATCTTGGAATAGCAACTACAGATTGATACACATCCTTAAATGGAGTAATATTTTCAAAAATCCCAACTCACTCAGATCCTACCAAACTTTGAGGTGCTTAAGAAGCATTATCCCTTTATTATTTCAATGTGCATGTTTCACTTTATTGCACTGTTGAACTGAGTAGCTGCTGGTTTGTTTGCTTGGAATGAAGTGGTGAATCAGAAATAGCTGCTACTTTTAAAGAATTTTTAATGGAGCTGAGTTCCCATGCATGTAAATTAATGATCTGTACACCACAAAATCTCCTTGCAATCTCATACAGTTTTTTCAGAACAGCTTTTCTAAGAAGAATGTATACCCAAGGATCTAAAATTTGATTCCATGTTGCCATTCGGAGACCGAAAAGTATTGTTTCACATGACTCCCACGAATTATTTCCATGTATTCCAATATTGGCCATGGTCACCTAAAAATGAAATAAGTTCCATTATGCATTAGAAAACATCATCAGACAAAACAGTAATTTTAAAATGATCAACATACTAAAGATCTCATAATCATTTGCTTCCCTTAAAATGAAGACTTCTTGATATTTGGAAACCAATTGATCAGGTGGTATAAAACATGCCTGTGCTGAATCTAGTCTGTATTAACAGACAATTTAGAAATAAAAATAAGGAAATTCACTGAAAGTCTGTGAAATTAGTGTTGTGGTAATGGGGTAAAATTCAATACATGTAAGTCCAAAGAATTAGCCAGATTAAAAAGACTGGCTAGAAACTGGTAGTAGATTGTGGATGTAGTGTAACATGCCAGGATAAACATCTTTGTCGGTTTTCTAAACTTTCTTTCATAATTCTTATTCACTGAGTACGCTCTTAAACTTAGCCCACTTAAAAGTGCTAACTCCATAAATTTCTGCATGCTCTCTTTTATACAGAAGCCTTTTTCATTGTATTGGCTCAAAGTGCCACATCACAAACTCATTTTTACCAATGAACACTTACTCATACAAACCTACACCAATTATCATTCATTAGAGTGGACTGAAGTTGTTTTGCAATCCGAAAAGGCATACTATTCTAATATTCTAATTAGGTATCACTGCCATGTTGTAGGAATGGCTAGGTATCTCATCTTATATATAATCGTCTGACTACGTACAGAAGTATTTTATCATTTGAATGATAAAATCTCAAATGAAGCTTTAGAGATTTGTGATTGGAGATGTCCCATAAAGTAGCAATCATACTTATAAAGTAACTTAATCAAAAGGAATATAATGTGCTGATTTATTTCTTAAATAATTATCTGCGATCCTCCAGGAACTGCCTTGTTTATCCTGCTAATCTTAAAATCTAGGGAAGGATTAAATGGAACACTCTGGCAAGTTAATCCATGTATACTTGATTAGATTTCAAAATATTATGCAAAGAGCTCCCCTCAGAAGTAGGATACATGTACATTCTGTTTGTCTTTAAAAGTAATATGCTTTCCATCCTGCAACAGAAAAAGTACTTTCTAGAATCTTAGCCTATTAAAACAATACGAGTATATTCTATTTTGATAATAGGCCCATTTAAGCAGATTTGGTTTCCATTCCATCAATGCTAATGAAAAAGGAATTATGATAATTCGTATTAGTTTTCATCCTTTGATGGGTAGAATAGACCATCTGAATACTTGTAGATGCTATTTGGTGCTTAGCTTATTGGACGACGTTTGATGAAGGAGTATTTTTTGCAGTTTTACCATCTATCTATCTCACAAAATAAATTTACCATATTTTTATCTCACAAAATAAATTTTAAAAATGTCAAGTTAATTCTTTCTTGAATCTCAATGCAGAAAGTATTATGAAGCTTTCTCTGCAAAATAGAAGTAAAATTGCAAATTGGTAAACCAAAAAAACTTCATGGCTATGTTTTATACTTGCAGGGTCAACACTTGCTTTAAAAGAACCCTTGGCAAAACAACCTCAATGGAGTTTTCCCTCCTTTAGGTAGACAGGCAGGCTTTTCTCAGGAAAGGAGCCAAATCCAGCCAGCAACAGCATCAACCATGCCAAGAAGCTGACGAGGTGCTAAGCAGTAAATCTAGCTTTTTCCCCTTCCCATAAGAATTTGCAGCTCTGTCTACTCATTGCTTCAGGCTTCCAATATATTAGACAAAAGAAAGAGGAAGAATGGAACCAGACATAATCCTAGTGGGGGAAAAACCCAGACCTTGTGCTTATTTATTTATTTATTTATTTATTTATTTATATTTTTCGATTTATATCCTGCCTTTTTCCTACAAAGGGTTCAAGGCAGCTTACATCCTCCTCCTCCTCCAGCTTATTCCCACAACAACAACAACCCTGTGAGATAGGTTGGGCTGAGAGTCTGTGACTGGCCCAAAGTCACCCAGTTGGCTCCATGGCTGAGCGGGGACTAGAACCCTGATCGCCTGAGTCCCAGTCCCATGCTCTTAACCACTACACCACACTGGCATCTTATTGTGTTGAAGCAGCTCATACATGAAATCATTTTGCCACATTAGAGCTGCACTTGCAACAGCTTACCTCTATACCCTGCCTATAGCCCAGGTTGCATTTAGGACTGAAATATGGAGAAGGATTTGGGCACATGTATAAGCCCAAGTGTCTCTGCATGCCTGCTACTTTGCAAATGTCTGAAGATGGCTTTGTAAGTACATTCAACTGAATGTGCCAACTGACTTCCTACACTTAGAAACTCTGATAAGATAAAAATTGAAGTTGTAGGAACTCTGTATGCATTGTACCAAGTACTTACAGAGCTGCCTTCAGACCTTTGCACTCTATGAATTTTACTAAGACTGAATGGTGTTAAATAAAAATGTTCTTTAAGATTCATACAGAGTGTGCTTTTTGGATTGTGTTCCTTCATCCAGTTTCCAACTGCTCCTTGTAAGTCTTTTCCTGAATCAATTCACTATTTAGTGAATGAAGTAGTCCTCCTCATAATAAAGTGGCTATGGTTTCAAAAGTATTGCTTTGAAATTAGAACAATCTTTTAGAAACTTGTATTTGCTAAGAACACAACACAGTAAAAAGGAAACAGACTTCCCAGTTCTCTGACTTTTCTAAGCATAATGAGGAACACCCCCGGTATTATTCAAGAATACACATACACTCTCACACACTTTATAAACATGATATAGTCAAAGGAAGCTGTCTCCTGGGAAGTGAAGATGACATTGTATATGCATGGGGTCAATCCTGAAACTATACCATTGCTTTAGGAATCTAAAAGGATATGATGTCCCAGTTCAGGATGATATACTGTGAAGTAGTTGTTATGACTACTACCTTAATTGAAGTTATTTTATCATTTAAAATATGCTTTTCCAAAAAAGAAATTATATCCATGGGCAAATCAGTGATTTTGCTCTCCTTTAAAATATTGTGGATATGCATAACCATCATTTGTATACTGTACCAGTGGGATTACTACATATAGAAATATCTCATAATTTATTAATTTAAATTATGGTACATTTGCAATTGAAAAGTAGTATTAAATTTTCTTGGGATGAGCAATATGAGTAAGCATATATAACAAGGCATAAAATAAAAATGTAGTCTAGAACAGAAACAAAATCTTTCATATGCACACAGAGATCCTGTGTGTTTAATCATCCCCAAACATTTTAACAAGGGAACCAATTTGTACATGAATTGTAAAATCATATGGCTGCGGTATAAAAGAAATTTCGAGTTACAAGAATGGGTTTTGTAGTGTAAACTTATGTAGATGTATTTCAGTCACACCAGGAGCACTACACCCATGAGATATCACTATCGTAGGATACCAAACTTTTCCTTCAAAATAAGGACATGATTCAATAAGAAGCAAGATTTTTACATTCCAGAAATTTCAATATAAGATATTAAATGCAGGTATAACTTTCCCAACTATCCTTTATATCAGAATGTTATTAAACAGGCAGATGTTCTTAACACTGAAATTATATTTGAATCATATCAACCTTTCAAATAATTCCATAGAAGTCATTAACCCACAATAAGTTTCAGTAGCCTACCTGGCCACATAAGACCTAAAAGAAAGATATAGGTGCAAACCTTTGGAAATCAATTCTGCAATTTAATCTGAAGGTAAGTAATTTTAATTGTAGGTACTAGTTAATAAGCTATTGACAAGTCCAGGCCATACAGAAATCACAGTAATATTCCAGAAATTCCATTAATTTATATATTATAACAATTGGAAAGATGTTCTCATGTTAGGAAATATATTCCATGATGTATCTCATCAAACTTCATAATACTTACAATAAAGTAAGTCCTATTGGTCTCAATGGAATCAACATCTGTGTAGGCATACATAGGATTGCATCATAACTATTAGTTGTCTTCCTCTACAACTCTCCAATAAACCTGTCAATTATTATTTTAAAAAAAACTTAGGGGGATTTTCTCTTAATTTCAAATAAGCCTACAAAGCAACATGGTGTGAAAAAGTAATAAGGATACATGAGTAGCAGCAATGTCAAGGAGGAGGTGTCAGAACCTGAAAAGTATTGACAGGAAAGATTCATTTCTTCAAAAAAGTTCAGTTCCTATAGGTAGCACATAATCAGATACTTGTGAGAAATATTCATCTGAGCCATACAGTAGAAAAGGTAAGAATAGTGACTATTTTTTGCTTTTCTTCATTTCAAATTAATTGTTCCCCAAGCCCTTCCTTTTCTTCAAAAAAAGATCATTCAGGAGTTATCTTGAATAGTTGGAATTAGATCTTTTCTGAAATACATTCTTTCCCACCATATTAGTCTGCCATTCTTTTTTCTTCCACTTGTAATCTGAACTAAACAACTACCACTGTTTAAGAGCTCTTGGGGCACTTCAATATAGTAAAGGAAGAAAAGGCTATAATGAGAACACTATTCGTCCCACTCCATTTATTTTCTACTCAAGATTTTAAAGAGGCAGAAATCTTTATGATTTGTCACTTATAGGGCATTATTCTTCTTCCCTTCTCTTCCCTTTGTCATTAGAATAGCTTCTATGAAAAACAGAACATTCACTTTTTATGCAGAGAGTTGTCCGACCTCCTCCAAAATGGAACCCCAGTTGCCCAGACGGTAAGGTAGATGGGACAAAACAGATTGTGAAAAAAACCTGCTTGAGCAGATGCACACAAAGGAGAAATGCGGGAGCAGTTTGGGGAACAAAAGTGTGCTATTGTAAACATGGTGGGATTCAGTTTGTATTATTTTACATACACAAGAAATAATAATCGGCTCAGCTTACATAAAATCTGATATTGTTTCCCAGAAGAGAATTTAGTAACCTGTCAAGAAGATGACCAGATAAAACGAATATTCAAAGTAATAAGCAATCAAAATGGTTCATTTTCCTTATAATTTGAGTTCTTTTTGTATGCAGGCCATCACATTTCAACAGTTACAGGACAGTTCTAT